GTCAGGACCCTGGGTCCGAGGGAGGAAGGGGCTGGGGGTCAGGACCCTGAGTTGGGAGGGGCTGGGGGTCAGCACCTTGGATCCGAGGCGGGCTGGGGGTCAGGATCTTGGGTTGGGGAGGGGTGTTGGCAGTCAAGATCCTGGGTCCGAGGTGGGGGTTGGGGGTCAGGACTCCGTGTCTGAGGGGGGAGGGTTGAGACCCCGGGTCTTCGGGAGGAGAAGTTGTGTCCTGGCGCCCCACTGACATGTTCTTGCATCGTCTTCCGATCTCCCCACCCCAGAGTCCCCCGCAGCAGAAAGCAGAACCCTCAACGGCGTGTCCTCGCCACCACCCTCTGCCCTTAAAAGCCCCACGGTGAGTCCAGGAGTGTCCTGAGCCGACGGGTTGGCGAGCGAGACGCCGGGCGCCGTGAGGCCACCTGTGGTCCCAGAATCCTCCGGGGCAGCTAGCCGCCCTTCCCCGGGCGCAAGTGCCCATGGGAGTCACGGCGGGTGGTCCCCGGGCGCAGGTGCCCATGGGAGTCACGGCGGGTGGTCCCCGCCCGGGCGCAGGTGCCCATGGGAGTCACGGCGGGTGGTCCCCGGGCGCAGGTGCCCTTGGGAGTCACGGCGGGTGGTCCCCGGGCGCAGGTGCCCATGGGAGTCACGGCGGGTGATGGGAGTCACAGTGTTGAGTTCCCGGGGCCCCAGGTGCCGGTGGGAGTCACGACGGGTGGTTAGGAGTAATTTTTTATGGTTCTTGGTGCCCCAGATACCCCTGGGAGTCATTGCGGGTGATGGGAGTCAGGGCAGGTGATGAGAGTCACGGTGTGTGTTTCCCGGGGTCCCAGGTAACCCAGAGAGTCAGGGTCTGTGGCACCCCCACGGAGGCTTCCTTCTCGTATCAGTCACCCTCTCCTCCTCTCGCAGCCAACAGAGGACGCTTTCCCCAGACGCTATGGTCTCCAGAAGACAGGGAGCTCTGGTGCCCTGGGACCCCCAGAAAGGCGGGTTGTTGAAAGAGCCCCTGGGACCGGGCTGCAGCGCTCGGCCTCCTCCTCTGTGCTGGAAGGGACTTCCACTCAGGTGAGAGGGCGAGGTGCTCTGGTGGGGGGGGGGTCCCCAGCCCTGCCTGGCCAACGGGATACACTCCTCTCCTCCCCTCCCCCCTTCTCTCCACAGGCCAAGGAGCCACGTCTTGCCAGAATTACCCCTACCCTCTCCCGGAAGGTGCTGGAGCCCCCTGCCCTGTGAGTACCAGCGCCTGTGGCCCTCAGTCTGGGGGCTTGGCCCAGGGCAGGGGGCCAGGCCCGTCAGCACAACCTTCAGTCTTCAGCCAGCCTCTTTACTTCTTTCTTTTCTATTTCTGTTTTCTCACACAATCACATTATCATAATACAGCCAAATTGATGGTGTCGATAAACCCTAGCCTAGCCTAGTTTTTAACTTTTTATACCATCGTTTAGATGAACGTTGAAAGAAGGACTCAGTGCTTTGTTCAGTTGTTCACGTGCACATGGATTTGTGACCTTGATTGGAGTCCCCACGTTGTGATAACACACCTCCCATTTATTTAGTCCTTGTGTTTTCATTTTCCATTGGTCCTTCTCTCCTATCCCTTCCCACTTTCTGAGCGCTATATCCTTGGGTCAGTGCTGCCCTGTAGATCTATAGTGTGGTTGGTTGGTCTAAGACCTGACACCTCTGTGGTGGTGGTGGTGGTGGTCATCTTATAGGCTGGTCTATTGTTTGGCTGAGAGTTGAGGCCTGAGGTGAGTGAGTTCAGCTCCAGGATTGAAGGTTGCCAAAGGGCCATGATTTCAGCGAGCCTATTTCCTCTCTAGAGTCACTTGGGCTCTGAGCCCCCAAGAGTCCTGATTTCTCTTGCTACTGTGCCCTGCCCCTCACCCCTGTCTTCTGTCTCAGTCTGGATCTGACAGCTCAGGGGAGGCCTGCCCCAGGGCCTTTGCACCAGCCCTTACTCTCCATACCCATCCGATGACATCCCTGAACCCACCTGCTGACCAGCAGGAGAGGGCTGCAGCTGTCTGCTTCCGTCAACGTTATACCCTAGGAAGCTGTCCTATAAGGAGGTCCCTAGACATGTATTTGTTGAATGAATGAATTCACCCAGATCTGACAGCCAAGCCTCCTATTTCTTTGGAAAACACCACTCCCTCTCCCCCCAGGACTCCGGAGCCTGAACCCCCAGTGAAGCCAAATCCCCCCCCAGCCTCTTCCGTGTCCCCTGCTGACTCCCGGGACCGTCGGAGGTAAGGGGCCCAGGATGGCAGAAAATTGTAAGACCCAGAAGGCCCGGGTTTCATGGCGTGTGTCCAGAGAGAACAGCTGCCCCCGGGCCCTCTGGGAGTTGAAGTCCTCATCGGCAGCCCTCCTCTCCCCCAGTGGGTATCACCCAGGGGTGGGGGACGGGGCCTAAAGGAAGGCTTCTCAGGGCTGAACCCTCCACTCAGGTCCTACCAGATGCCAGTGCGTGACGAGGAGTCAGAATCCCAGCGGAAAGCTCGTTCCCGCCTCATGCGCCAGTCTCGGAGGTCCACACAGGTGGGGGGTGGAGAGGGTGACCAGCTCCAGGGTCTCATGCGCAGAGGGGCCGCGGGTCGGGACTCCCTGGTCTGAGGGAGGACGGGCAGGGGACTCCTCTTTCTGGGTCTGAGGAGACTGAAGGTCTGACGCCCCCCTCCCCCTGCCAGGGCGTGACTCTGACGGACCTGAAGGAAGCAGAGAAGGTGGCAGGGAAGGCGCCCGAGCCAGAGAAGCCGGCCCCGCAGAGCCTGGTGAGAGGGCAGGCGAGTGTGGCAGGGGGTGGCCCCTGACTCCCTTAGCTGACCTTAATTCTCCCACAGGACTCTCCCCGGAGACCCCGAGTCCCTGGGGTTGAGAACTCCGAGGACCCTGTGCAGAGAGGTGAGGTCTGAGGTCTTTGTCTTGGAGAATCCTCTAAAGTGGCCTAGACACTAGGGGATGGGAGACCCCAGGGAGGCAGTGGGGCTGATCCCAGACCCTCCCCCAGCAGAGGCGCCTGACGGGCAAGGGCAGGGACCACAGGCCGCCAGAGATCCCCGCAAAGTCGGCAAGGAGCATCGGGGGCCTGCCGAGGTGAGGGCCAGGGCCGGGAGGGCTGCCCGGGAGGATGCTGGGGCCTGAGGTCCCAGGAGGGGCATGGCTGGGAAGTAGGTGTGGAGCCTCGTGGTGGGGCGTGGCTTGTGTATGATGGTGGGCGTGGTCTCAGGGTGGGTGTGACATTTGAGCCTAGTGGTGGGCGTGGCTTATATGTAAGTGTGGGTTCCATGTGGGTGTGGTTGCAAGCCTTTGTGGGGTGCTCATGGTGGGCGTGGCTTGTGTGTGGTGGGCGTGGCCTCCAGGTGGGTGTGACATGAGCCTCGTGGTGGGTGTGGCTTGTGGGTGGCAATGGGCGTGGTTTCCATGTGGACGTGGTGTGTACACCTTTGGCGTGGGCATGGCTGTACAGTGGACATGATATGTAGGCTTTGTGAGGGGTGGGGCCTCGTGTGTGATAATGGACATGGCGTGTAGGCCCTGTGAGGGGTGGGGCCTATGGTGGGTGTGGCTTGTGTGTGTTTGGGCGTGGCCTCCTGGTAGTTATGATGTTTAAGCCTTGTGATGGGTGGGGCCTTGTGGGTAGTGATGGGTGTGGCTCCCAGGTGGGTGTGGCGTGAGTCTCGTGAGGGGTGGGGCCTGCGGTGGGTGTGGCTTGTGGGTGATGGTCGTGGATTCCAGGTGGGTGTGGCGTGTATGGTTTGTGAGGTGGGGTCTCCAGGTGGGTGTGGTTTCTGGATGATGATGGGCATAGTCTCCAGGTGGTTGTGGCCTGTGAGCCTTGTGGGGGGTGGGGCCTGGTGTGGGTGTGACTTGGTGCTGGGCGTGGCCTCCATGTGGGGTGGTGTGTGAACCATGTGAGGGGTCTGCAGGTGATTGTGGTGTGTGAACTTGTGAGGGGGTGAGGCCTGATGTGGTTTGTGGGTGATGGTAGGATAAATGGACTATGGGTGTGGCTTGTGAGCCTTGTGATGGGTGGGGTCTCGTGGTGGGTGGGGTTTGTGGGTGGTGGGCGTGGCTTCTGTGTGGGTGTGGCTTGTGAGCCTTGTGGTGGGTGGGGTCTCGTGGTGGGCGTGGCCTCCGTGTGGATGTGGCTTGTGAGCCTTGTGGTGGGTGGGGTCTCATGGGTGGTGGGCGTGGCCTCCATGTGGGTGTGGCATGTGAGCCTTGTGATGGGTGGGGTCTCATGGTGGGTGGAGTTTGTGGGTGGTGGGCGTGGCCTCCATGTGGGTGTGGCGTGTGAGCCTTGTGATGGGTGGGGTCCGGTGGTGCTGTGGTTCACAGCTGAGCTTGGCCTCCAGGTGGGGGAGGCTTGTGATTGTACACTGCTGTTCACTTTTGAGCTGGAACCAGTTTACAGCTGACCCTCCAGTGTGTTTTCAGAGGCCATAACTCACACAGGAGACCACTGCCCATTTTTTTTCCTATGGAGCATGTGGTAGATTTGAACTGCATCCGTTTAGGTTGGCAGCACAGTTCCTGACCAGAGCTTCCTAATGTGGGTCTGCATTAGGGTGAGGGTTATGGTCTGGGTCCTGTGTGATGATGGCTGGCCTTACAGGTCATTTGGGCTTGTGGTCCTGTGTGAGGGGGGTGTGGCACCTGGAGGACCTAAGCCCCTCCCACATCACACTGACCACCCTGCTTCCATGGTCCACAGGGGGAGGAGGCAGAGCTGGCGGAGCCAAGCCCAGAATCCAGGTAGCGGCGTGGGCAGGGCGGGTGATAGGAGGAGGAGAGCTGGGGATGGACAGGCTAGGGCCGTGGACAGTGCTCTCTGACCCCGCCCTGCTTCCACCCCAGCCCTCCTGACGGTGGCCCCGAGTCCCACAGACTGTGCCCTCAGCGAGACCACCACCCAGAACCCAAGCCAGCGCCCGACGAGCCAGATGGAGGATTCCGGAAGGTGTGAGATCTCTCCCCATAGGCGCCCTTCACCCCCTCCTCCTCTGTTGTGGTGAGCCAACCCCATTGACAGACAGCTGCCGGGAGGGTTTTCCCACCTGTGGCCTTCACCGTGTGAAAACCCAGGAAGACCAGGCGACTGCTGTGGCCGTGATGCCCAGCCCGCGATCCCATTGCTGGGTGTGGGTCGGACCGCCCGGGGGTCCCACAGTCGTCGTCATCCTCCCAGGGGTAGGGGACGTGCAGTGGGAGGTGTGGCACCAGGGGTCCTGTTCCCTGGGCCCCCTGCCCCTGTCTTCAGAAGAGCCTCGAGGTGCTTGTCAAGCTGTGGTCCTGGTCTTCCAGCAATTCTGGGAGAAAGCCGGGCAGTCTCCTTCCTGGAGTTACGTCCTCGGGAGCATCTGACTAGTACTAGGATTCGGGTGTCCATGCAGTGACTGTCCGTCACGTGCACAACCCCTGCTTTTCTGTCTCCACATCCTGGTCCCTCCGTTTCCTCTCCACACACCCCCATTCCCTTGAGCCGTAGCAGTGGTCAGGTTGTCCTGTGATGGCAAGCCCTGCTGACCCTCTGGCCACCTCTTTGTGCCCCCCGCGCCCCAGCTGTATGCAGAGCTGCGCGTGGAAAATGAACGACTGCGCGAGGCCCTGACGGAGACCACCCTGCGGCTGGCTCAGCTCAAGGTGGAGCTGGAGCGGGCCACGCAGGTAAAAGCGAGCCCGCAGGTCAGGAAGGCTGGGCTCCCACCTGCCAGCCAGCAGCAGGGCCTGGGAGGGCTGGAACCTGAGGCCGTCGGACTGTGACAAGGAAAAAGGAGCCTTGGTTAGAGGGTGGGCTTGGCTTGAGTGAGGGCTAGGGTGTTCCTATGTGAGGGCTGGGCTCCAAGAGCTGGCAGGGCTTCTGGTCCCTTAGGACTGGAGCTCTAGTGGATGGGACAGTGGGGCGAGTCCGGGTGGATGCGGCGAGCTTGAGTGAATGAGGCGAGCCCGGGTGGATGGGGCGAGCCCAGGTGAATAGAGTGATAGGACAAGCCTGGGTGGATGGGGCGAGCCTGGGCGGATGGGGCGAGCCCAAGTGGATGGGGTGAGCCCGGGTGGATGGGGCGAGCTTGAGTGAAATGAGGTGAACCTGAGTGGATGGGGCGAGCTTGAGTGAATGAGGCGAGCCCGGGTGGATGGGGCTAACCCGGATGGATGGGGCGAGCCCAGGTGAATAGAGTGATGGGACAAGTCTGGGTGGCTGGAGCGAGTCCAGGTGGATGGGGCGAGCCCGGGTGGATGAGGCGAGCCCGGGTGGATGGGGCGAGCCTGGGTGGATGGGGCGAGCTTGAGTGAATGGGGTGACCCCAGGTGGATGGGGCGAGCCCGGGTGGATGGGGCGAGCTTGAGCGAATGGGGTGACCCCGGGTGGATGGGGCAAGCCCGGGTGGATGAGGCGAGCCCGGGTGGATGGGGCAAGCCTGGGTGGATGGGGCAAGCTTGAGTGAATGGGGTGACCCCGGGTGGATGATGGGGCGAGCCTGGGTGGATGGGGCGAGCTTGAGTGAATGAGGTGACCCCGAGTGGATGGGGCGAGCCCTGATGGATGGGGCGAGCCCGGGTGGATGGGGCTAACCCGAGCGGATGGGGCGAGCCCAGGTAAATAGAGTGATGGGACAAGCCTAGGTGGATGGGGTGATGGGGTGTGTGTTCCCATGGGGGTTGGAACCAGGAGGTGGGTGGAACTTATGGTCCCATGTGATGAGGTGGGGGCCTCTGAGTGGGTGGAGCTTTGTTCCCATATGGGGGTGGAGCTTGTGCCTTGTGAGCAGTGCACTCTGGGAGTGGGTGAGGCCCATGTTCCCATGTGAGGGTGGAGCCTGAGTGGGCAGAGCCTGTCTCTCCACTTGAGAGGTGGGGGCTGGGAGTGGGTGGGGCTATTGTTCCTGGGGGTGAGACCTGAGTGGGTGGGGCTTGTGGTCTTGTGGGGCCTGAGTGGGCGGGGCTTATGTTCCCTGTTCTGGCTGCCCTTGAGGGGTGGGTATTCCCACGTGATGGGTGGGTATTCCCACCTGAGGGGTGGGTATTCCCACGTGATGGGTGGGTATTCCCACCTGAGGGGTGGGTATTCCCACGTGATGGGTGGGTATTCCCACCTGAGGGGTGGCACTTGAGTGGACAGGAATTGTGCTTTTTTGGGGGACTGGGCTCGGACTGGGTGGAGCTTTTGTTCCCAGGTGAGGGTGGCTTGTGGTCCAGTGTGAGGGTTGGGTCCGAGGGAGAGTGAGGGTCAGCGTGGGGTCGGAGCTGTGCCCCTGATCCTGCTCTTTGCCCTCCCCAGAGGCAAGAGCGCATCGCCGAGAGGCCGGCCCTCCTGGAGCTGGAGAGATTTGTGAGTTGGAGATGGTGGGAGGGGTCCAGAGGCCACGCCACCCTCAGCTGGCGGAGACCTTTGCCACCCGGCCTCCTTTAGTGGATAGAGCCCCCAGCGTCCCCTGAACCCCCTCTCCCTCCCGGCCTGTTGCAGGAGCGCCGGGCCCTGGAACGGAAGGCTGCCGAGCTGGAGGAAGAGCTGAAGGTGAATGCTTTCAAGGACTGGGGGGTGAGCGCACGTGAGGGCCCCCAGGGCCTCCGTGCCACCGCTGCCCCTGTGCTGACCCTGTGCTACCCCTCAGGCCCTGTCGGACCTCCGAGCTGACAACCAGCGGCTCAAGGACGAGAACGCAGCCCTGATTCGCGTCATCAGCAAACTCTCCAAGTGATAGTGTCGGGGAGCCCGTCCCTGCACCCGTATTTATACAGCTGCTTCTGCCACACGCACCCCTTCCCCTGTGTGAACACGAGTGTCGGGGCGCCGGGGACGCCTCTGAGAAGCCATAACTTCCCCTGGGGACCTTGGGGCTGGAAGGGGAAGAGCAGAACCCCCGGGAGCCGGGGGTGCCACCCGAGGCCCACAGGGAGGTTGGACCAGGTAGGGGGACGTCGCAGAGAGGGGACCGGGGCCTGGAGGCGGGACCAGGAGGGAACTGAGGACCAGGGAGCACAAGGACCAGAAGAAACCAGGGACCAGAGCAGCCGACCCGGGGTCCCCCACCTCACGTGTGATGCCCCTTCAGCCAAGCCCACCCCCTCCTGAGCAGGGATCCAAGAACGTGCCAAGAGCCGGCCAGGCTGCAGCCGGGCGGGCTGTGTGCGGGCCCGGCTTTGTTCCTTCCCTCTCCCTGTTTTGTTTTTTCCTGAGGGCCACACCCATGTGCAATAGGGGGGATGTCTTCTATTTTTGCAGCCCCCTCCCCGGCCGCTGTCGGGACAGGGGGAGAAGGTATTTTCATGAGACAGAGCACAGGCGCCACAATAAAGACGTGAAGTTGCCACTCAGCAACTGCTTGTCTGCGCGTTGCTGCGGGGTCAGAGTCGGGGCTGGGGGTCACTCTCCCGCCCACTGCTGCGGGGTCAGAGTTGGGGCCAGGGGCCGCCTGCCCACCCACCCACTGCTGCGGGGTCAGAGTCGGGGCCGGGGGCCGCTTGCCCGTCTGCTGATGTGGACGTTGGAGCTCCCAATGGACCGTCCTGGCAGGGCACTGAGGAATGGGCAGATGTTTGACAGGGAGAGGGCTTGGAGCCATAGCCCCATGCAGGGCAGGATAACCACAAGCGAAGACGTATGAGAAGAGAGCTGTTTCCTGAAGCCGGACGCACACCCAGTCCTGAGAGGGTGGGCAGTAAGGGAAGCCTGTGGGAGGGGCTGGGCCCTTGGCAGGATCTGGAGACACTCTGAAATCTTGCCAGGAAGTTAGGTCTGACTCCCAGGGACCCAGCAAGACATTCAGGGATTCCAGGCCGCAAAGCAGAGTACAGAAGGACACTTTCGCATCAGTCACCGAAAGAGAAGCTGGTGGATTTGAACTACCGACCTTCGGGTTAGTGACCCAACCAGTAACCCACAGTGCCAGTAGGGCAGTCCCTGTACTTAGACTTTCTGGGATAGAGTCGTTTAGACTCTGACTTCATCGATTTCTAGAGCTGTCAAGACAGGAAGAAACTGCCCATCTCCTGAGGAGCTGCTGGAGGATTTGAACCTCGGAGCCACACAACTCTTAGTTAACAGCCTGTTACTCTGACTCCAAGCTTAGAAGCAAGTATTTGAGCTGGACCTGGTGGACAGAGGCCACTGCAGCAGACAGGCAGGCTGTGCTTTAGGGGTAGAAGGGCCTAGGAGTGTTTGGACAAAGAGACTACATGGCTCGAGGGAGGACCTAGGAATACAAGAACCAGGAGTTCACCAGTGTTGAGGATTCCCCCACCTCACGTGCAACGTTCCCCTCCGCTACCTCGTCTCATTAGCAGTTAGAGAAAGGACAGGCTAAGAACCGTGCCCAGCAACTGTGAATCTGTTTCATAGGACCCGAGTTTGTCCTCTCCCTGAGCACTACATCGATGTGAGAATAGGAAGAGATCCCACCTAGCTGGTGGCTTCTTGTCGATTACCTTCAACTTGAGCACAACTCACTGCGACCCTATGAACCAAAGGCCTGAAGCCGTTCTATAACTATCGACATTTGTCAAAGGAATTGCGCTGCAAATCCAAAGCCACACAGTGTGAATCTATGAGTTCCTCTGTGGGGGAAAGATGGGCCTCTGAAAACCCCTTGGAGGGAGGGTCATCTGTGGGTTGGCTCCGACTTGGTTCTTAACCATTAACACCACCTAGTGTTATTTTATTCTTTGGTTAGAAACGCAACATCTTACAGACTTTGGGGATTCCTCCACCCTCGCCCTGCTCCCTGTCGTGGAAAAATGTACCTAGTGCATTTGATGGTGTGTGTGTGTGTGTGTGTAAAGATTTTGAGCAGGGGGCATGGAATGGGAAATATGCAAATACCCCAGTTCCTAGCTTGGGGCCCTAGTGATAGAAGGCGGAAGCAGTGAGAAACTGAATGTGGTGAAGGGGTGAGTGGCGAGGGAAAATTCTTGGGTCCCCTGGCAGCCGGGTAGAGAAGACAAAGCTGACAAGGACCACTTAGAGAAGGCTGTTTAAAAAGACTGGAAAAGCTTGTTCCATCACACAGGGATCCCGCGTGCTCCCTCTATCAAGCTTGCGCCGAAAGCGCTGGCTGTAAATTGCCTTCACGCCCCTTCCTGCTGGCCAACTGGCGAGCGCAGGCTGGTGTTGGCCAGGGGCAGTCCCTTTGTCCACTGGTGGAAGGAAAGGACAAATTCATTGGGAGCAGAGTCCTTCTAGTCACAGGACGCAGAGAAATCGGCTGTCCTGAGACTGAGCAGAGGGTCAGAGGACCTCCGTTTCTGTCTTGCCTTCCACCTTCCTCTTCTGCTTCTCCATCACTGCCTCCAGCTCTGACACTTTCTTTGAGTCCTGCAGGACACGGTGGTCATCACGGTCCCCCGGTGTGCGGGCCTCCAGCTCCCTTCCCGCCCCGGGCCCTGGGATGCATGGGCAGCTCACCTCCAGCAGCGCACGCTGCACCATGACCTGGCTGTACACACGCGTTCCCTCCTCGGGGCTCACAGCCCGGAATTCCTCCTTCTGTAGCGAGAAAAGCTGCGCGCCTGTCAGCATACCCAGTGCGTTCACCGTGCTGCAAAGATAAGGGGCGTGGTCAGGACTGAGAGCCAATCACAGCGCAGCACCTGCGCCAATCATCACGCCCACCAAGCCAATTACCCAATCAGGAGTTTCGCTGATCCCTTCCCTCTCACAGGGCGGAAGCAAGCCAATCATGTCCCGTAGAAAGAGGACACGCCCCCTTAAGGCCTAGCCCAGATCTCAGCATCCTGTCACGCCTCCCGGCTCTAGGCCAATCAGGACGTTTGGATCCCAGAACTCCACCCCATTACTGGCAATTCGCCGGCGCGGGAGTCACTCACCAGGAGTTAAAGCCCTTTCGCCGCAGCCAGGCTCGCACCTCCGAGGCCCCCGAGAGCGGGCTGAGCTCCAGCTCCGGGGAGCGTGCGCTCGGGCCGGCGCGGATGGGGCCCGAGAGGCCCTGGGCCAGGCGCGTCTCCAGCTCCTCCTTGACACTGAACATCTGGCAGAATTTCTCTGCAGGGAGGAAAGCCGCAGGGGAGGGCTCAGGGCGAGGGCTGGTGGAGGGGTGAGGGTGCCTCCAACGTCCCCTCTCAACGTGCTCGGTGTGAGCCCTATTTTCTCCGGGGTGCAGCTACCACTCACCCTTCTCGCTGGGGTCTAAATTGTTGAGACTATCGCAGCTGTCCCAGTTAGGTCTAGCAGGGGCTGAAGTCAGGACTAGGGGCGCAGAGGGCCTTCTGTTGTCCTACAGAGGGGGGACCAGAGGGCGCTGGGGTCAGAAGGAGGATGCATTCCTGCCTCTCTTGCTTCTAATGAGAAATGACACCTCGGACAGGATTCTGGAGACATGGTCCTGGACCGCCCCTGCCCTCTCTTCTCCAAAACTCTGTGCTCACCAGGCTGCGGGCAGGACTTCTTTGGACCCCCTGGGGCCCCGGATGCGATGTCAGGATATTATAGGGCACATATCCCTCCTGCCCCTGTTGGTCCCGAAGCTTCCACCATTTGCGGCTGTCATCCAGGACCTGGGACAGGGGGAGGAGGGGAGGGTTTCACAGGCTGGGTTTTCAGCGAGGCCTGGGTCTGTCCACTCCAGCCTCTCAGCCCGCCAAACCTCTGACCTCCAAAACGTCCTGCTGCTTGACCGAGAGCTCGCTGCTGTTGCGGGCCTGGAAGTCGTAATTACACAGGACCCACTTCCCTGCTGGCTCGGCTTGGAGCTCAGTTCCCAATTCCGGGTCTTGGTGACTGAGGAAGAGAAGGGCTGGGCATGAGGAGGCAGCCTGCCCTGTGGCTCTGCGTTGCCAGGGTCTAGTGTGAGCTGGGGTTAGAGCCTAGGACGGGTTCATTTTAATACTGTTAATTAAAAACAAACAAACAAACAAAAAACAGCTTTCTTCCCTTGCCCCACAAACTATGAATCTAGTTACCCTGCAGGCCTAGAACCAAATTCATCTAGTGACTGACAGGCACCAAGATACTTCAGGGAAGATTCAAACTCCCAACTTTTCAGTAAGCAATCCTCACAAGGGACCCGATTGTTAAAATCATTTGTGGATGGCGTTTCTGTAGATAATTGTGGGATTATAACGACTCTTACTTCACCGCAGAGAATTAGAAGCTCAGAGAAGCTAAGTTAAAAGCTAGGAAGGCCAAGTGCAGAGAGCACAGACAGGCAGAGGTGGTGGCTCCAAGCCCAGGCAGCTAGGGACGAGGGGACAGCTTTCTTGTACCGTTCCCGCCCTTCCCCCACCCTTGAGAAAGGAGCAGCGTGAATCAGGCCTACCTGTGTAGGGGAGAGGGGGGGTCTTCAGGGCCGCGGCGTCCCCTGGGTGGGGCCTGCAGCTGAAGTCCTGCTGGGTCCACCTGCCCGCGCCCTCGTCCAGACCCCCCTTCTTATCCATCTTGCAGCTTCATTTTTCTTCTGGACCACGTGGCTTCTCTCCATTAGGGCCCCCTACTTGTCTGGGGGCTCCTGGCCTCTAACCTCTTCCTCCCTCAGTGACCCAAGAATCAGGGTCTCAAGCCTGGATCGCCTTCATCTTTCCAATCTGATGCCCACTCTTACATTCCAGCCGTCACTGCCCTCAGGGACCCGGAGGGTTCAGCACATCCCAACACAGGAACCTCGCTCCCAGCCCCCTGAAAGTCCAAGCCTGCTTCTCTCGGTCAGTTCCAAACACTACAACTGAGTTCTTCACAACCCTAATAACTCTCACCCTCTTCCCTCAAAATACTCAGTGCTCTGGACCCTTATGGAGCCTAATGACAAAGTGGTAAGCACTGGGCTTCTAACCAAAAAGGTCGGTAGTTCAAATCCACCCCCCACTTTCTAAGGGTCCAAGAGGAGGTAGTGGGGCCCCGAGGGGTAGTCTACGCTGTCCATAGGGTCTCCATGAGTAGCAATCCATTCCACTGGGGGCAATGGGTTTGGTTTCATTGCGCTGAACTCTTAGACATCCACAACCAAAGTGCCTGCTTCCAGTCCTTTGAGGATCCAGGGGCCCCTCCCAGCCACCTCCTCCCTCAGACCCTGGGATCTGGGCCTGCAATGCCCTCCCTCCTCCCCTGGACCTAGAAATCTGAGCCCTGCCTTCTCCCCCCTCCTCCTCCCCCTTCTCCCAGCCCCGGCCCCACCTCCTCACCACCTCACCCACCTGCGAAAAACCAGGGAAGGCAGGAAAGAGAAAGGAAGAGAGAGAAAGGGGTCAGTGCCAGGAACCCCCAGGAGGCACCCTTTTGCGACCCCAGCTGCCTCACCCATCCTGGGCAGAGACTCACCCATTGACAGCAACTTGGGGGGCGCTTTGCTGGAGGAGGGAAGAGGGCAGTGGGTCAGTGGGAGCTGGCTTGAGCTCCAGATTTCTCAAAAGTGCCCACTGTGTTACCTGGGGAAGATTCGGGCCCCTCACTCTCACCTGCCGGCGCCTCCGTTCATGCTGTAGCTGCTTCTCCACTGGGTCCTCCCACGCGCGACCCATTGGGTCAGTGGCAGGAGGCTCCCAGCCACTGTAGAACTCTGGGATGTATGGGGGTCCCTCTTCTGGGGGGAGTTCCACCCTGTGACAAGGGTTGGCAGAGGACCCTGATTCAGTATTGCCATTTGCTACACTAGGTTTTGCTCCAACCTGTCAAACCAGCCCCTTTCTGTCAAGTCTGAAAGCCTTTAAAACCCATAGAGTTCTAAAGTAGGTTTCCTGCTCTGTAAACCTCACCCCTTTCACATAAGCTCCGCCTTTGTCACAGGCCAAGATCCCAGGCCCCGCCCCTCACGCAAAAGGCAGGCTATACCTTGCCTAAGCCCTGCCCCATCCCGTAGCCCCACCCAATTAAGATATAAGCTCCTCCCTATGTCCTATAGCCTCAGCCTACTCCTCTAAGGCCAGCCCTTTCCCTGGAGTGCCCCCTCACTCCTTTATTCCTTTGCCTCATTCATCTAAGCCTCACCTTTTATTCTAATTTCAAAGTCAGACTCCGTTTAAACCTCGTTTTCATAATTTAACCTTGTCTCCAATAAGATCCTGGTATTTGAGCTAGGTCCCGCCCTCCCTTTAGTTCTTTGGCCACACCCCCTCCACCTAAGTCCCACCCAATCCCTTCCTTTTTGACCAATCATGATGTCTTCTGCCTTCCGCTCCCTTGCCTCTCCAATCACCAAGCTCCCCAGCCTCTCAGCTCCGCCCCTCACCCGGGCCGGGTCCACGAGTCCCCGAGCGAGGTCCAGAGTGCACTTTCGCGAGGGGTGAGGGTCTCACGAAGCAGCGTCACTGCCTCAGAGGTCAAGTGAGGCCGACGCACCCCGCTCGCAAACTGGGGGCCGCCGGAAGTGTCCACAATCTGTAAGGAGAGCCAGGATGGGCGTTTGATCAGATCTTCTAACCCCACCCCTCCTGCTGCTGGGGAAAAGTGAGCTCTCTAGAGGAGTCTGCCTCACCATCTGCAGGGGGCTGAACACAAAGTGCAGCAGCTCTGGGGAGGAGGGGTCGGCGATGTTGCTCCGCAGCCGGGCCTGTGGGCAGAGGAAGGAGGGTGCATGGGTGGGTGGGTTCGCATTGCCACCCTTCTGACTCCATGCAGGGCGTTTGCTCACCAGCAGGCTGATGGCGTACTTGATCTTCTGAAGCACATCTGTGTACTCAGCCTCAGAGGGCGGCTTGGCCCTAAGCGTCAGCAGGCCCTCTATGGGTGGATTGGGGAAGAAGAGACAAGAGGGTCAGAGCGAAACAGTAATGGGAAGCTCAGCCTGCCAGGTGGAGAGAGGGGAGATGGAAGGTGGGGTGGCGGGAGAAGGTGTGCAGGATCCCACTCACCCCCGGCCGCCCGGCGCCGGGTCCTGCGGCCTCGCTCTCGGTGCTCTAGCACCCTGGCCGCCTCTGCTGATTTTTGCAGTCTCGATACAAAGCTCTCCAGGTCGTCAAACACATGGTTCAGGATATCCTGGGGGACACAGGAGCAGGGTGTGCATAGGGTTCCTGAGCTTCAGACTGACTCATTGCTGGAGAAGCCCTCAGCCAGGAACACGGAGACACGCCACCCCCAAACCAGCACACACCCAAAAATGTCTACAATGGTTCTGGATTTCAGTGACCACATCCCAGAGGTCTGATGGGAGTCAAACCCGTCTGCCAGACCCCAACCTTTCCATGAGTCTTATCATCTTCCCAGCTCGGCCTCCCAGGAAATCTGATTAGACACCAGACTAGTATCACATTGTACCTGCTCTAGTCCCTATACACCAGCCTCTCCTCTAGACATTGGTCCTGCCTCATGCCCTGGCCCCGCCTCTAGACGGCTGCCCCCACCCTATGCTTTAACCACGCCCCTAGATATCTGGCCCCACCCAAGGACCTAACCACGCCCACATACTGTTGGCCCCACCCATGCCCCATCCTTTTATGCCTGGCCCCACACTATGCTCTAATCACTCCCAAAAGTGACTGGTCCCACCCCATGCCCTGGCCCCTCCCCTAGACACCTGGCTCCACCCTATGCAGTAACCACGCCCCTAGACTATTTGCCCCACCCTATGTCCCCTATGTCCTGCCCCTGCCCCTAGATATCTGGCTCCACCCTATGCTCTAACCATGCCCCAAGATGGTTGGCTCAGCCCATGTGCTAGCCCCGCCCCTAGACTCTGGCCCTATCCTATGCTCTAACCACGCCCCTCAATGTCTGGCTCCTCCCCATGGCCTAGCCCTGCCCCTAGATGTCTGGCTCCACCCTATGTCCTATCCACGCCCACATACTGTTGGCTCCACCCTATGCTCTAACCACGCCCCCAGACTGCTGGCCCCACCCTCTGTCATGACCCCGCCCCTAGACATCAGGGCTCCATCCTATGCTTTAACTCCTTTCACTTATGCTCCACGCCTGGCCCCGCCCCCATGAACTTGTGCTGCCCCTAGACCTCTGGTCACCCTCCCATGCCCTAAGCTGCCTCTAACCATCTCTTCTTGCTCTCCGTGCCCAGGGTTTCCCTTGCCTTACCACATCCCGCTCGGCCTGCAGACTGGCCATGTCAGGTCCACGTGGGCCCAGGTCCGGGGAGGTGGGGTCAAGTCTGTTCAAGGTTGTGGTGGGTTTCCAAGACTCTTCCGCCTCAGGGATGGACTGTGCCTGGGGTCGTCTGCTTGTGGCCAGTTCCATGGCACTGATGACTGCACGGACTGAAGGGCGGCGCTGCAGGGGAGGGGTTTCGGCGGTGGGCTTGGGTGGGCGCTGCAGCTCTTCCTGGGTGGCTCTGGGTGGGAGAAGAGGAAACTGAGGCTGGGTCGTCAGAGGAGTCACAGACACAGTGTGGCCCAAAGGCCGTGGTATATAGAGAAATCCGAGATATGCAGAGGTTAAGAGAAATTAACAGTAGACAGAAGATGAAGCAGAGACCAAACCAGAGAGAAGCAGAGTCCTCGGCTGAGAGGTAAACATATCCAAGAGGGAGAGGGTTAGCTTGTGTATATTCAAAATTCATTTATTTTGCACCAGGCTGGTATCAGCCCATTTCTTCAATGTGCCGACTGAGGCCCACGGAGTGGAAGCACACCTCTTCTGCCCATGGTCCATCCTCCCCACCTCCTCACTCCCACCCCTTCTGCCCATGGTCCATCCTCCCCACCTCCTCACTCCCACCCAGCCTCTTCAGTGCTCACCTGAGTGCCGCTGCCCTGCGATCCCCGCGGCCAGAGCGGTAGTTGTGCAATGCCCCCTGGATGTCCTCCCGGATCAGCTCCGCCTGCCAATCATGCTGTCAGAAACCGCCTCTCCACACAAGCCCCTCTCCAGAGTCTGCCCCGCCCCCCTGGTGCCTGGTCAGGCTTACACTGGTGGGCCTGGGTGGGCACACCTCCACACCCTGACTCCAGGCTATGGCCCCAGGTGTATCTAAAAAGAGAATGCTCCTCTCTCTGGCTCCTCTCCCAAGACCTTTCCTTTCATGTTTTGTCCCTATCCTCAGGCGATCCAGTCCCTTCGTGTACATTCTAGTCTCACCTCCTATCTGTATTTGGGTTCAAATGACAGACAAAACTTACAGCTTCCGGAATCTTTCTCAAGCCCCGCCTTTCTAGCAGACCACGCCCCTCTATAATGCCATATGCCCCCTTTCCCTGGCCATGCCCCTCTGCTGGGACCCATGGCACCAGGACACCAGGTCCTCCTCTCCTGTCAGACCTCTCCCCACCCCATCCTGTTCCACCACGCGGCACCCTCCCCAGGCCACACCCCCTGTCAGACCACGCCCACAACATACCACCCTCCTATTATTAGTTCCTCTCGGTCAGGCCCAGTCCCCGCCCCTCGAGGTCCCTCCTCCTATCAGGTCCCACCCCTCCCCGATAGGCTCCGCCTCGCCAGGAATCCTCCAACCAGGCCTCTCCCCTCATCACCAGGCCCCGCCCCCCGGGCTGGCTCACCCCCAGGCCCAGGCTCTGGAAGAAGTGCACGTCGGGCTGGGCTCGCTCCGGCTCCTGGCACACGAGCAGCAGCTGCGAGCGGCTCCGTCCGGGCGGTGTCACCACATCACAACGCACGATGTCACTCAGTGCATATGACTCCAGCTCCTCCTGCAGGGAGAGGGGTGGTGGGGCAAACTGAGGCCGGGCGCCCCTCATCAATCATACCAGCTGGCGACAGCAGTGCCCGCTGGGAGCCAGCACTCGTAAGGTTAGCGATTATCACCCCCACTTTTTAAAAGAAAATCCACTTGTTCGTTGCCATCAGGTCAGAATCCACTCCTGGCTGACCCTCCAATGAGTTTTCAGGTAGTGTGCGTTGACTTGGAGGAGATTATCTTTCTCCTGCAGAGTCAAACCATCAGAGAGGCACCCATTTTACAGGTGGGGCTGGCAAGGCTCAGAAAGGAGGCAGGGACTCAACTCACACTCAGGGCCAAGCTCTGAGTGGTGCATCCTGCTTACCACAAGCCCCACCCCCTTGTCCCCATTCCCCTTTCTCCCCAGCACCTTGGAGAGTGGGTCAAGCAGCGTGACATGGTCCGGAGACACTCGAAGCAGCATCTCCTGGGCCCAGACACGGCCCTGGCTGTCCATGACGGCCAGCTTCCGGGAGGCATCCTCCACAGTGTGGACGCCGTCCTCCTCACCCAGGCAGAAGGTCACCAGGTGCTGGCATAGGACACAGAGACAGTGAGGCTGAGGTCACGTGGGAGCGGGGTGTAAAGTCTCCTGGTACCAGCCTTCACGCCAGGAACACCTCCCCCAGAAAACCTTCCCTGATCACCTGCCCCCGTAACCAGCCTGCTCCCAGAATCAACTTTTCTTACATCGGCGTCTGTCTTTCTACTGAAATTGGAGGTTCCGTGGGGACTGGAAAGGGGTTTGGGTTTACATGTAACCAGGTGCTCTGGATTCTGACGGCGACCCCATGTGTATCAGAGCAGAACTGAATTCCACTGACTTTTCAGCGGCTGTTTACTCAGGACACGAGTTGCCAGGCCTTTCTTTTGTGGTGCTTCTGGGTGCACTAAAACACCCAACCTTTCAGACGGCAGTTTAACACATTCTTTGTTGCACCACCCTGATTTATACCTAAATCCCTCCTAAGCTAGGCACTACAGTAGTTTAATGTTTAGCAGGTTGGCTTCTAATCAAAAGGTTCGTGGTTTGAACCACAAGTGACGTCTGTGAAGGTTCCCATTGTGGGTGAGCTGGTTCTGACTCACAGAGTCCCTTCAGTGGGTCTCTGAGCCTGCAGATGGTTACAGGAGACTGCCTGTCTTTGTGGCTGGCAGGTTCGAATCGCAGAGTTGTTGGTTAGCCATCTGATGTGTTATGTCACCAGGGCGGCTGTCAGTAAAGATTACCCCCTAGGAAATCCTATGGTGTGATTCTACTCTGCCCAGCACAGGGGTACATTCAGAAGAAAAAGTTGGCAGGTGGGCGTGGAACTGAGATCTTTGACTTACTGTCAAAATCAGAAGCAGGGGAAAAGAAGCCCATTTTTCAGATGAACAAACTGAGTTTCCTAAGTGCCTTCTGCTTGGTGGCCCATCTCCCCATCCCTGGCTTTTCTCCTACACAGTTCCTTGTGGTAACAGATCCCAACTCACATTAACTGGATACTGGGATACATCGGCCATCACCACTGTGGAGTAACGTTTCCTCTGCTCTGTAGGGGAGGGCGAACCCAAGAGACAGGGGTCTCAGCCCCTCCTCCCTCAGACCTGGGGGTCCTGACCCCCAGCCCCTCCTCCCTCAGACCTGGGAGTCCTGACCCCCAGCCCCTCCTC